GTACGGTCAAACACTGTTTGCTCACTGCACATTTCCATTTTAATCAGCGGGGTGAGTTGCTCTAAAGCACACAAACCCCAGAGATCTGCCTGCCGGTTTACTGACCCATCACACACACACACACGCGCGCGCACACACACGCACGCGCATACACACACACACACACACACACACACACACACACATACACACACACACAGGTCAGCAAGACAGGCAGAAAGATGGAAAATAATGTGAGACAAATAGAACAAATAATCTTACAACAGACATAGATAGAATGACAGACAGAACGGCAAACAAACAGAAGAGACAGAACATCGACAAAACAATAGAAAGATCGATAGACAGATAATTAGAACAACAGATAAACCAACAGACAAGTAACTAGACAGACAGACAGAACAAAAACAGACAGATATAGAATGACTGATAAATAGAGAGAGAGAGAGAGACAGAAAGACAGACAGTCAGTGAGATAGAATGTCAGACAGTTAGACAGACAGAGTCTCTCACCTGATGATCTGCTCTGATACGGGTTTGTTCTGGAACTTTGGTGGCAGCTCTAGGATGGGCTTCACTGTGAAACACTGAATGTCTGTTGGAACCAAACTAAGAAACAATAACAGAGACAATTTGTAGATTTGAAGTCAAACTAAACACAGATTTCTGTTGTTGTTGTCAGCATGTGCTGTGAGTGCGGCTGGAGGATACACTGTCCAGAGGAGCTCCTGATGTCCTCGCTGGGAGGGGTCGTGGTCTTCATCTTCTCAGCGTTGGGGAACTGAGTGAGCAGTCTGGCCTCAAAGTCCTCCCGTCGCTCATACTCCTTCCCCCGATAGATGAACATCTTATTCTGAAAAACACCCGCAACAGACATTATCATCTTGAGATCAAACATTCCGTTTCTGATTTATTTTGACAACTGTTCTGCATTCACCGTCCTAATGAATATTATTAGCATGGTATGAATTTCAAAGCATCTCATTTTCTAAAAAAAAGCACAATTTAATTAACACATGAGATTGAATAAATACACAGAAATATAACAAAAAGTAATAATCGAATACACAAAGGCCACAGATAGGTACTAACACATCCAGATATGATTCACAGCAGCAGTTTAAATGGAAAAACAGCACAAAAAAACATTTTAATAAGTTTTCTGGAGCATCAACTTAACATTAAACAATAAAGAAAAAATATAATATTATTCTAATGCATTAAACGGCCAACAGAACTATTATCAAAATTGGTGGTTCTCAGGGTCACATACATTTTAGTTTTAGCAGTGCCAAATAACAAAATGCAACGAACCATGTGATCATGCATAGTTGAGATAAATAGACTTATGAAATATCTAAAAGAGTGGAAATGCTTCACATAACTTTTGCTGCCAATATCAAAGGCTGTGTATCCAATCAAACTCCACAGTGTTTTAAAAAGGCAGAATTGGCGAGATATAAACTCAGAGTTGTAAACTTGCAATTCAGATTTTTTTCTTATAATTGTGAGTTTATATCTATGTAATGCAAATATTAATACAGTAATAAACACTTGGTAGCATGCTGGGATTCCTTAAGGAAAACCAGTTGAGAACCACAGATCTAGATCATTCAATTATCATCATCATCTATGAATCCAGGGATTTTATGAAAACAGTAAAATGACACAGAAAAAAAGCATCTCATCTTCAGAGAAGCTCATTCTGTATTTCTTAAGAGTTTTAACGTTGAATTTTAAAATAGCCACCATGGCTGTAATTCACAGGCGTTTGGCAGTCTGGAAACGCTCAATTATTGCACATTCCCATAAAAACACCGTCAATCATCAGCGCCCACCTACAACACCGTCAATATGTTTCCACTCGCAGCGTCTGTGCGAACAACTACACTCAGACCGCTGTGTGCACACAGACACCCACACACACGCTGAGAAATATCACAGCGAGAGGGAGCGCGACGGAACGGGATACTAAATTGTCAATATGTGTGGAATTGGAAGTGTTTATTGTAGAACAATGCATGCTCACATTTAATATTTCACAACAGTAGAAAGCAGCGTGCTAGTATTCGATCTGAAAACAGGCTGAGAGATGCACTGGTGCGCACACACACACACACACACACACACACACACTCCCTGCCTGCACGAACATATTTCAGCTGCTCAATTAGTGAAATGTGAACCGGAGGTGAAATATGCCCTGGGCTGTTTTCAAATCTGCTTTGAGCGATAAGGTGACAAATTGGACTGTGCTCTCGACGGGTGTTTTCACACCGCTGGTGATTCCAAGCACGGAGGAATAAACCGGCTGCGTTCGCACGACTCCGCACGCATACAAAAGTGCCACTTTAAGGAGAGAGAGATTGCAAGACGTTTTGTGTTTTAAAAGGCAAAGCTTCTCTCCACGGAGCAACATGTCAACACTAGCAGGAGGCGACTGGCCTTTAGATGCTGATTTATTTTTTTGTTCCCAGGATGGTTGGTGGGAGACGCGTGACTGCAGGCCGCTGGAAGAGAATTAACAGAATTACAAATATATCTGAGGCGATTCAGTGCCACAACCAGAGGCTTAAACACATGCATGATCTGTGGAAGGTGAATGATTCTGTTTCATCATGAATGACAGATTCTGGCAGGGAAATATATAGAAAAAAAACAGAGAATGCAAACACTTGAGTCCACAGAATATTAATATCGCCCTGCTTTTTTTCTGTCTGACCTTCATACTTGATCAACGTTGCATTTTTACTGCATATAAGCTTTGATAGCACTTCATTTGCTTTACCAAATCATTGTATTGGTTTCACATATGAGAGAATTTAGATGAGTGTTTGTCAAGACCACATTTGAAAAGTCATGCGAACAACCTTAGAAACATCGGATTTGAGCTGCAAAAGTGGAAGTGAAATAGATTTGGTAATAAAAGAATCTAAAAAAAAAAAAAAAAACTAATGTATTAAAAAGAATTTAATTGAATAGTATTAACTGAATTGAATACAAATAAATTCAGGAATTTAATAAATATTTAGTAAATATTGAGTTGGTTTTTGGTTATTTCAAAAAATGTTATATCAACCTTAAAACATGAGCAAAGTGGAACTGACAAAGATTTGGTAATAAAATAATAAAACAAATAAATAATTAAAATGAATAATATAATATAATTGAATAGAATACAAATAATTACATTAATTTAATAAATATCAACATGGTTTTTGGTCATTTTATAAACATTAAAAAGATTGGATTTGAGTAGCAAAGTGGAACTGAAATAGATTTGGTAATAAAATAAGCTAAACATAAAATAATAATAATTGAAAAATAATACTAATGAATAATTGAACTAAAGAATATAATTGAATTAAATACAAATAAATTACTTAATTCAACAAATAATATTTAATAAATATTGCGATGGTTTTTGGTTATTTTATATATTTTTTAACAGCCTTGAAAACATTGGCTTTGAGCGGGCAAAGTGGAACTGAAATGGAAACTGGGAAGAAGCTAATAATAATACTAATGCTATCACTAATACGAATACAAATACTAACAATAGAACTGAAATTTAGAATTCATGATTATATTTTGAGACTGAAAGTCTGGGACAAAAAGGTCAAAAAGAATTGATACACAAAAGGTGAAAAGTATAATGATGAAGGCATGGTAAAAATCGACCTTCATATATCAAAAGGAAAATAAATCTGTTAGTTTGAATAAAAATCAACGCCTGGAACATGAAAATGGCTGTATTTGAGTGAAGGTTTCTGCAGTACTGAGGACAGCTGTTGATGAGTTTGGAGAGGCCACACAAAGACACCAGTAATTGATTTCCAGGCCTTTGGAAACATATCAGACGAATTCACAATGCAATGCATTTACACAAAGAAACAGAGATCTCCACGGTGATAGTGAAATATGAAAAGATTCACAATAATAAGAGAAATTCTCACCCGCAGGAACGAGGGGAAGCCCAGCCCATAATAACCTACAGCGAAGTAGTCCGGCTTTGGTCTGATCACTTTCACGATGTTCTCATAAAACTGAGCTTGCTTCCTCTGAGAGACATAGAAACAATCAGATCATCAGTGCTCAGTTACAAAAATACAATTCCTGTACAACAGCTGTTGCCATGGTGATCCATGGTGTTATGGATGGTTGCCAGGGCGTTGCTAGGTTCCTTAAGAGTTGTTGGGTTGTTTATTAATAATAATTAGGCAAAAAAAAATTATATTTCACAAAAGCACTGATGATTAGCTCAACTAATTGTATTTATTACTATATATGTAAATATTATTTATATTACATAAAAAATAAATAAAATAAATGTATATGTACTGTATATACATAGTATTAAATAAAATACATTCACATTTTTGAAAAACGCCAAACAGGTTATAAAAACAGGTCGAGATCAACATGTGAAGGGATCCAATAAAAGTTAGTCACAAACTTTCGTTCAGGACTGTGCAAAAGGTGCCAACAGTTGATTTCAAATAAAATCAGACCACAATTCGTTGTTTGTCTGAATGGATCGATTTGTTGACAATTAGACGAAACCGAACTAAACTAATGAACAAAATGCAGAAACTCATTAAAACCCTCTGACCATTTATATTAGGCCAATTTAGCTACTTTGGTGAATTTGAACAGTCTGAACGACCCATTAATAGTTTGTTTCATTGTAAAACCTTGAGAGAGAAAGTTTGTACGTACCAGTAAAGCGCTCAGCTGCTCAAAGTCAAACATCTCGTTCTCGTACTGTTCGGCTAACTCCTTCCCCAGGATAATGGCCTCCTCCCACATCTGAACACAGAGCACCAGAACACACATCAAACGTCATCCTTGGAGCTCATTATGTCAAAACACAGTGGTGTGATATCCTTCTAACCATCTGTGAACAATGCGCTGTGAGTTGACTGTCAAACAAAAAGTGCTTTCTGAGATTTATATTGAAACGGATACAAAGATTACGCAGCTGCACCATGCTGATCACGTTAAATATTTAAGAGATCATTAAAGGAACGTTCTGGGATAGGACTTTTAGATTCCTCTGTAAAAACAAACAGAAAAATTGCATGCACTGTAATGCACCTCCATTGGAAGTCAATGGGGCTAAACTGAAGGCTGTAAAGGCTTGCATTTTTAATGCATTGTTTTGTACAAAAAAATTGAAATATTAAATTAGGCTTCATGCAAGTTTTATGAAGGTGAATTTGAGACTTTTTAAGACCAATTAAAGACTATTTAAGATTAAATGAAAGGGAATGCAATATGTCAATGTGTTCTCTTAATGTAGACATCTAAGGAGAACACAATGAGTCACAACTTCCAACCGATCTCAGTTACTTTTCAATTAATTGTATACTTCAATAAATAGCTTAACTAGAACATGGAAATAACTTTTACTGTACATTGTGTCTTACACTGTACATTTTTGTCTTGTTTTTCAGTGCAAATGTCTACAAACCATTAAATCAAGGTAGACGCAAAAATGACATATTAGAAGTTGTTTTCTGAGATATGAATCAAAATGAAGTAAATTATAATTTAAAAAAGTAAAAATTTCTGCCAATGAGCTCAGAAAAAAAATCTGCTTAATTCAAAAGGAAAACATGTTTTCATACCTCACTGACAGATATTTGTTCTAGGTATTAAGAATAAACATTTTGTGCAAATTCTCAAAAAACAAGACTTAATATCTTCATTTTACATCTCAAGTGAATATATCTTGAGATAAGAATGTTTTCATATTTGCATTGGAAAACAAGTCAAAATAGTTTTTTTGTTATCACCTTTTAAGGCATTAAATTGTGAATATATATATATTAAATTAAATTAAATTAATGCATTTAGCAGATGCTTTTATCCAAAGCGACTTACAGTGCATTCAGGCTATACATTTTTTATCAGTATGTGATATATATATATATATATATATATATAAATGTGTCACTGATTTTTTTTTTCTTTGGGTGGATCAGGTGGCCTTAAGTGAGTCAATATCCATAACCTCATCTAAACAGTTATGCGGATATTCCTCAACTCTGACATAATCTCATATCAAACTTATAACTTCAAATGCCAAGTGTAAATAAACCCCCCAGCTAGCATCACACTTCTGCTGCACAGGATTTAATATATAACTAATTCTTCAAATGAAACTCTGAGTGCATCCTGGCGGCACCGAGACAGAGAGAGAGAGAGACTGTGATTATATATCAATATCCGCAGTGCATTATTATTGAGAAAGCTGCCAGTAATAGTATCTGCAGTCTGTAGGAGATGACGTGGATTAGTTATTCAGACCGGAGGAAGAATAAAGCAAGCACGGTGCATAAAGTGAAATTTTATGCCGCTCTCCTTCAAACACACAGACACACACACACACACTTTCCTGTTCAGTTCTCTTGTGTGCTCTCTATTTGAGCTGCTGAGCCCAGTAATGGGGTCCAGTTCAGGGCAGCAGATTCGCTAAGAGTCCCCCACTGAGAGACCTCTACGCTGGGTGCAGATCTTCACGTGGCCACTTATAACCTTCAAATCCCCTCAGCTCCTCTGTCCAGCATGTCAGACTAACAGAGATGTAGCTATAACCGAGCAGCCAATAATCTGCCTCTCTTCAGGTCACCTGTCCGTTACACAGACAGCTGCAGATTCTCTCAGTACTGTAGATGCAGGATGCATTTAAAGGCACGCAGAGGTTCATGCAGGCCATTTCTGACATTCAATCACACGGATTCATGCATAGAGACACAGAAAACCCGACAGTATATAACAGCACATAATAGTTAATCGAGTCATGCTACTCCTTAAACGAGCAAAAAACTCTCTCTCTCTCTAAAATTATATATAAAATAAATGTAAATATTTACATTTGACGCTGCTATCCTTACTGCTGTTTTAGAATACATAATATGCAAAAGATAATATGGAATGCATTATATATTTACGCTTCAGTAACTATTCAATAATATAAATATTCCACTAATTTAAATAATTTTACAAAATAATTACATGATTTGTGTGTGTGGATTTATATAATTTTATATATTTTAAATATGTATAATGTTATATTTTAAATGTTTTAAAATATTTAGAATTTAATATATTTTAAAATATTTATATTTCATTTAATGCTGCCATGCTAATAATGATTCTCAATGTTAAAGCTTATATATACAAAATCAATTGTAATTTTTAATACAATTGATACTGCCATCCTTATTACATTTTTATATAAAATAATTACATAGTTTTTGTACATATAAACAAAATATATATTTTTTTAATATTTAAATTTGATGCTGTCACCATAATAGTGATTCAATATTATATAAATTCAATAAATACATTTATATACATATATAACTAGAATAAAACTTATATTTACACAAAATAAAACCAAGAAACATCCTAAATCATATGACTGCATCAGCAACAATGAACTGCAAGATTTAATTAAACTATTATTTCACTGAAAAAAACAGAAGACACAATGACATGCAGGGACTTCTGGGAACATAAATGAGTGATGACTCAAATGAACATGAATTGTTGTTGTTTGTCTTTTAATCAATTCATAGAAATGAACCATCAGATCAATTCAGTCTTCCAAAATGAAAAACTTCCCAAAGGAACACATACCACAGGCGAAAGGACAATGAAGTAGAATACGTTTGATCACTGCATCTCACAAGGTCATTATTAGTTGAAACACAGCTCCACTATTCTGAAAACAGTCAGACTTCCTGAAGTCCGTTACTGGTCAACATGACTAAAGCAGGTGTTGTGAAAGTAAATATTGTTAGTAGCCGTTACCTTGCCCTTGTCGAAGTAATTGATGATCTCTTGGTACAGCTGGTCTTTGAGTTGACACTGAGTGGTCGCCTGGTAACCGTCTCTCTGCGTCAGGTGGGCGGCACAGGCCTCTTCAGACCACTGACAAAACAACATCACAATTACACTCTTCAAATACACCGCATTAACCTGCCACTGACCTGCTGAGAGTCACGCTAGATCTATACACATTAATACAATCACGAGTCAACATGAAACTTTAAAGGAGTCGTATAATTATATTTTCCTTCATCTTTCGAAATAAAAAAGTTATTATATGATGAAAACCTAATGAAACTCAAACCTTCCCACGCAAGTGAGAAGCAAAGCTGCAAAACATCCATCGAAGTTACAATATGTGAATTCATTAACACAACCGCCCACATATATACATTAATGGCGCCTGTTAGGCATTCAGAACCCTGGTTTGTCTAGTCAAGGTGAGGTAATAAAGATATTAGTACTTCAAAACGATATCCCTGATGATTTCAGTCTGATCTGATCAGTTTGAATGACACATTTCAGATCATTTTATGGAAAGCATTCAAGCAATGTGATATAAAAAGCCCATGTTCAAAGCATCAGAGAGAGTGGTTATGACCGACTGTTTTTAGTGCAAAAAAAACTTTATTATAAGCATTATAAGTGGACCACAGGGAAAAAACTAATTGAAAGAAACAAAAAATGATGCGACCCCACTGAACAATAAATGAAAATCTGCAATATGCAGGTGCACAAACACACACACACACACTCATATAGAGCAGTGTGTTTCAGATCGCAGCTGCTGGCGATATTAATTTTGTTGTGCTGAAAATCTGAAAGGTTTTGGGTGTATTTCCGTGCCGGCGTCGAGAGCCCATCTGATAACGCTGATTTATGTGGCCACACTGTAATATTCATTACAGATGCAGCCTGATCCTGTAAACAAGTGATTATAGGGAGAAACTGTGCAGATTAAGAACTCTTGTTTTTTTTGCTGACCGCTCAGTTCAAAGCCTCTGTGGAATAAAAACACACACACAGGAAAACGAGCGATCTGATTGGCTGGAGCGGGTCAGCTGACTGCCTTGCGGGCCTCTGCTATCGGCTGTCACACTGAGCTACTGTATTGTGCTAAAGGCTCTGTCAGGACTGATTCACTGTAGTGTGAACGTAATTGACATTTCATGGAGCTTTGTGCAACAGTGGAGGTCAAGCACCTCAGGAAAGTGCATCATCGGCGTGAGGAGGAACGGAAAAACCAAGCCAGGTGGCGTTCTTCATCAAGTGCGTTTCTGGAGCCTTTAACCAGTAGGTTGTTGGACTAGTTGTTCAGCACTCTGACTGTTTCTCATTGTGAGATGTCAGCGCTGGTTTCTCTGCGGTTACTGTCGTCATCATCATCATCAATAGAGTGGGGGAACTATGACGTCAGAATCCGGAAGTGTAATCCGCCACGGGTTCCTTCGAGATTTTCCTATGGGGTTCTTCAATTAAAGAGTAAAATAAAGCCAAACATAACTTGAGGATACTTTTACGTTTTGTTCTACAATGTAAATTACACGCATCCATACACAAAACACAATTTTTGAAGCAGTTATATTCATTTTTGAAAACTTATGTTTTTAATAAGTAACTAGATAAGAACGTTTGGGCTGTGAGTGTGTGCAGTTTACATTGTAGAACAAAACGTAAAAGTATTGTCCCGTTATTTTTCTGAATGCATGTTTAAAGACTTACAAAATGTATTTTGAATCACTGTAGGCACCCATAGAACAGGACTGATTTCACCAACGTCCAAATGAGCAGATAAATCAGCTGCAAAGGTTCAGGTCTTGGTGCGGTCTCTGAACAAGACTGAGAGGTGTGTTTGTGTTTGTAAACGCATTAATAGTGTGTGAAACACAAGGTGTGTGTGTAAGTATGTGCATGTGGGAGCCTCGCTCTTGTAAGCAAACAGAACGACGGCAGCTATTTATGAAAAGAAGCTGAGTGGGTTCGAGAGAACGTGGTGTTCCCTCGCTCACTGTGACAGCCGACAACCGATGACAATCCGAGATTCACTACAGAACATACGCTGAGCCCAAACGCAGATGTGATTAAACAGCAAGCCAATATACATATTAATCCATTTGCTCAACTAACAGTTAATGCCAATTATCAAGACTTAACTCCCAAGATTGACTAGAATAAATTTGCATTTCCTAAAGGACACAGTAGTGCTTGCAAAGCAGCCTCATAATATAATGTTAATGCTTTGGGTAAGGTTAGGTTCTCGGTCATGCAAATGTGTTAATTAAATGGCACATCAGAGCTTTGCATTTGTCATGAAACGCATCTGCTGTGCATAGAAATGCAGCTGTAAAGGTGACTATATGCTTAAAAGAATAGTTCACTCTAAAATGAAAATTTGCTTAATTTACTCACACTCAGGCCATCTAAAATGTAGAGTTTGTTTCTTCATCAGATCAGATTTGGAGAAATGTAGCATTACATCACTTGCTCATCAATGGCTCCTCTGCAGTGAATGGGTGCCGTCAGAATGAGAGTCCAAACAGCTGATAAAAACATCACAATAATCCACAAGTAATCCACACCACTCCAGTCCATCAGTTAACATCTTGTGAAGTGAAAAACTGTGTTTGTAAGAAACAAATCCATCATTAAGAGATTTTTAACATCAAAATACGAGTCCTCTATTCATAACATTGTTTTCTTCGGTGCAAAAGTCATCTCGTCTGAATCAGGAGAGAAATCTGCACAGATCAAACACCGTTTACAAGCAAAAACAGTCCAAAACAGCTCTAAACAAATAAGTGGCTGCATTTTGATGTGAGAGACAACATTAGATGGACTTTTTCACTTGAGGAAGCATTATTATGGATTTTAGCTGGAAGCAATGGCTTAAAGTTAAAAACGTCTTAATGGTGGATTTGTTTCTTACAAACACACAACTTTTTGCTTCTCAAGATGTTAACTGATGGACTGGAGTGGTGTGGATTACTTGTGGATTATTGTGATGTTTTTATCAGCTGTTTGGACTCCCATTCTGACGGCACCCATTCACTGCAGAGGAGCCATTGATGAGCAAGTTATGGAATGCTACATTTCTCCAAATCTGATGAAGAAACAAACTCATCTACATCTTGGATTACCTGAGGGTGAGGACATTTTAAGCAAATTTTGGGTGAACTATACTTTAAACAGATATAAAAAGTAACATTCCTATGCAAATAGATGCAAGAAAATGACTCAGCCGCAATTTATTATGCAGATATGACTGTCAGTTAAGTATACAAAAACCAAAAAGGACGCCTGTATGTTAAGTGGATGAATTAATTACAGAAGTTTTAATACTTGGGTATTAAATGTAATACCTTAAGTTTCATAAGTTTTATACTAAATACTGATGAATTTTAATACTTAAAGCCTTACAAGCACCGCAATCATGTCTTTGGCAAAGTTTAAGTGTCTTTCTACCAGAGATTTGTTCTCAAATCTGCACTTGAGGTGACTTTATAAAATGTCAGATGAGAGCAGCAAGCACTCGTTCACCTAACCGGGAAAAAAACACCCTTCTGTAGAACATCAGCACTCAGAAATGGAAATGTGCATGAATTATTTCGGTCGGAGTTTTCAACAGTGAGATTTCCAATTAAATCATACCGGATACTGTAGATCCTGCCGTTGATCATCATTATCACATGTTCACTGAACCTTCATTTACTGACACGAGTAAGAATAAATGTAGTGTCTTTACTGGAGACATCCAGAGACGTCTTCCAAGGTAAAAGGTAAACGTGTGTGGAGTTACCTTGAGGAGTTTAGCGTGCAGCAGTAGGGTGTATCCGGCCTCTGTGTAGTTATCACACTCCTTATGCAGGTCACACAGCTTATACAGGTACCTACACACACACACAATTGACATTAACAATCTGAACACAAACTCCATTACAAAAAAAAAAAAAGCTTTAACAACAAACTCACAAAGGTCACCAGCTCAGAGCAGCTACAGTGCTCAGATTAACTCGACATTCACATAACGTATGACTCCAAACACAGGGAATCGCAGAGAAACTTTTCTTCTCTAAACTTAAGATTCTTAAAGATAAAAATTACAAATGGAATGTTTTCAGAAATCAAAGCATGCCATTTTTATATTCTGATTCGCCAATGCATAGGTTGTGTCCCAAATTATGCATAATGCACTTATTCTGTGCACTGTATTCAAGTGTATTTATTAAATAAGGTTATTTTGACATCCAAAGTAGTCTGATAGCCCCTCCCCCAATTACATAATTAAAGTTGTGACAAGTGAGTGCATGATGAAGCGACCAACATTACACACTTCATTATAGTTTTTAATATATTTTTAAATATTTAACAATATTTTTGTTTTTATATTTTCTGTTTTCATTTTAATTTTAGTTATGGTTTTATTAATTTTCGTGTGTTTTTGTCTTTTTATTAGTTTTTAGTTTAAGTTATTTTAGTGCAAGCTAAAATAAATGAAGAAAAATGCTAAAGAGCAGCATTTACTGTATCTGATAGACTTTTTTATATTATAAATATCTTTACCGTCACTTTGGCTCAATTTAATGTGTCCTTGCCAAACAAAAGCATAATTTTCTTTCAAAAAAGATGGTAGGCTTTATCTTCCCTTCCTTCCAAAAGCACGACTTGACCTGCATCTAGAATTCTCACCTGTGATTTTTTTTTAGTTTTCTTTTCTTCTTTCATTTTTCCATGTTCTTCCACACACACACACACACACACACACACACACACACACACAGTGTTGTTCTTCCACACACACACACACACACACACACACACACACGCACACACACACACGCGCGCACACACACACACACTCACTCACACACACACACACACACACACACACATATATATAAAGCCGCTCACCTGATGTACATCTCTTCTCTCTCTATCTCCTTGTAGAAATTCTGCAAGAGAAACAAGGTCACTTATTCATGCTAAACACATCCTGACCTCAGTTCACAAAGAACTGCAAATCGGTATTTGAGAGATAATGGGCTCTAGAAGAATCCATCACCATCCCTGTGACATCTGTCCTTGTGCACTTGTGCTGTTGATTTCTACACCGACCAGTGAGAAATATGAGAGTCATGTTTAACACGAGGACTCCAACAGCACGTTCAGATTTAATGTGCACTCTTGTCTACCAAAAAAATGTTCCGTTCAATTGTAAAACTAGTGATATGTGTGAAAGTACAGCCAATCAAACAAACCAAGCCTTCGGACGTGGAATTAACAGCACTTCACAGTTTCAGTGAGACATCATTTTTGATATGCAGTATTGTCAGATTCAAGTTCTTCATTGATGCTACGTTTGAACAAAGCCGTAACTTTTATGCTCGTGGGCATGTATAAAGAGTTTGAGCCAATTTTAAAGTTACAAAGGAGCTGATGCAATTACTCCACACCATCAGGACGCCTACACACTCCAGCTAGAGCGCGCTCCTTCAGGAAATACTGGATGCATTTATGTAAGTGAAGATGCACTGTAAAAACTCAAGGGATTGCTGCAGAGATGCTCCGTTGAGAAACTAAATGTTCTCCTCACCAGCACGTTAACTGTGCAGCTCATGCGGTTCTCCTTGTTCTCGTCGTGCATTATGGTCCTGTAGTCCAGAAGTCTCTCCAACAGACGGACCACCAGAGTTACGAAGGTTTCGCCAGTCTTAGCCAGATACTTGTGCTTCCTGCAGTGCTCCAACAGACTATCACAGACATACATACATTAAAAGTGAAAGTCACACTGCTGTGTCCTGAACTAGAGACATGAAACAGCATATGCAATGCATGTAGAGTCAACACGAAAGCAAATTTGATTTCATGCTCAACTTAAATGCCCCTAAACTCCTTATGAAAGTCAACATAAATTACCATAATAACATTTCTAAGCAAAATGCACTTTTTAATGTAAAAGACTTGACGAATTAGGCATTATGTTATTGGTTAATATTTACGCATGTGCCACTGATTACACTGAAAGGAAGAAAAAATAATTTGAGAAGCAGAGTAAGTTCAGTTCAGTTTCAGTGAAAATAAACATTTATTTCATACAAAATGCACTGAAAAATCTCAATAAGAAGCTCAATAAGACCAAGAACATTTATATGCAAAGAAATTCAATACAATTTAATTTTAAACATTTGATATTTAAGTGTTTTTTTAAAGATCATTGAAATGCTTTCATAGTTTTTGTTAATATTTAGATTTTATTTTTAGACTTTGTTTTCACTTTAATTTTACAGTTGTGTTTTTGTCATTTTTATTAGTTTTTTTAATATTCCCCTTTAGTTTTTATTAATTTTTATTTATTAGTTTTAGCTTATTTAGTTTTAGTTATTTTAGCACTTAAAGTTAAACTAAACAAAAATTATAAATGTAGCCTTGGCAACTAGCTGAAATGTTTATTTATTTTTTTATTTTAGTTAATGCTTATTTTGATTTAGTTAACGGTAATAACAAATATTTAAAAAGATGAAAATTAAATATGGCCAGTTTTTAAAATATATATACACAAATAATAAAAAAAAACTTTAAATATTGAACAAAAATCTTTAATATTAAAAACAAATTAATTAGGGTCAGTTTTGATTTGATTATTGTCTTTTAAAGGCACAGATCTCTTCTGCTCTGTTCATGCAGCATCATGTAGCAATTATATTAACGTGTGTGTGTGTGATCTGCACTCACATCTTCTGGAAGAGGATTTTGTACTGTTCGTCTCCTCGGCCGCCTTCCACCTCATGATCCAGCTTGGTGATGATCTCGTTCTCAAACTGCAATTAAACACAGTGGCCGTAAATAACGAGTGTGGCTAATTTTTCATTTCATTAGCGTCGTTCCTCCCAGCCCTCCTCTCTCTCCTCCTCCTGCGTTTTCTCGCTCTCTTGCGCTGTGTCAGAGAGTAATCAGCCATTATCAGTCACACCGACTGTGAGCTCAACTTTATCTGCTGATTACCATCACTGCGCTTCATCACACACACACACACACACAGAGACAGACAGACGTCTGGCGATTTTCTTTCGTAAGTTATGAAGTGAGATGACTTCAGTATAGATGAACACAATGTAAACTTGCGCACACACAAACACACACGCGCGCACACACACACACACACACACACACACACACAAATTATGATTTCTGTCCTCAATTCAACAAATACTGGATTGTATTTGTTATACTGTATCTCAATACAGTGAAATTAGCAAAAATTGCTAATTCGCAGCGATTTTAAACATCATGAACGGCTGTGTTCGAATGCTCACATGCGTATTTGCACACATGCTCTGTGAAGAGCTCTGCGACTCTGTTCATTTGAATAATTAATTTAAGAAGCAATGTTTAATTACTGAGAAACACCTGAAGACCACATGTTCAGTTTAATATGTTAGCATTTTAATATTTAAACATGATTTTAATATTTAAAAAGCACATGTGGTAATAAAGAGTCATGAATTTTTTAGTATTTAAAAGCTTTTAGTATTTACTACTGAAATGTTGGTCTCGTGACATTACTACTTAAAATTACTGTAAATGCACCACCAATGCAACCCTGCATCAACTATTGGGGTCATTCAATTTTTTTTTTAAAGAAATTAATACTTTTATTCAGCAATGATGCATAACGTTACAAAAGATTTCTATTTCTAATGTAATATTTCTATTCATTAAAAAAAAATCCAGAAAAAAAGTATCAACGTTTCCACATAAACCAAAACAAATAAATAAATAAATAAACAAAATTAAGAAGCACAACCGTGTTCAACATTAATAATAAAACAAAATGTTTTTTAGCAGCAAATCAGCATGTTAGAATGATTTCTGAAGATCATGTGACACTGAAGACTGGAGTAATGATGCTGAAAATTCAGCTTTGATCACAGCAATAAATTACATTTTAACACACATTCAAATAGAAACCAGTTATTTTAAATCGCAAAAATATTTCAGTTTTTACTGTATTTTTAATCAAATAAATGCAGCTTTTGTGAGCACAAGAAACATAAACATAAAAAAAAAAATCGAACTGGCCCCAAACTTTTAAATGGTAGCGTACTTTCCCACGAACTGTACTATTAGTATGCAGTACAAGTATGCAAATTAGGATGTAATGATCACAGAAATCACACAGTTACTGATGTCTGTGAAAACTGACCGTCTGGAAGCAGCGTCTGAAGTGAAACTCGCACTGCATCATGTCAAAGAAGATGGGAATGGTGGCTTTACGCAGCTCGATCTCAGGAACCAGCGTCATCTCCAGAATCGGACCCACCATCTCAGGGATAAACTTGATTTTGTGTGGACCTGCAGGATGTTGAGAAGAAATTCTCAAGTTAGCATGCCTGAATTCTTCAGTTTATTTGTTTAAGATCTTTTCTGTGTGTTTTGTGCCGTACAAACAGGATATGTTTGTGATATTTCTGCTGGCAGGTGCAACAGCACAGGGAATATCAGCTCTCAGCTACTTCCTCGCAGTGCCTATTTGTGTCTAACAACAACTTTTATGTATTTTTGTGAGCTGTGTACAACTTCTATTTCAGAGGCACAATTTCTACAGCTCTCAAAAGACAGACTTTCATCTGCGCTCCGCTAATCTTCAGAGTTTCGCACAATCACAGCGCTGAATGCAGCCCAACATCTCTGAATCTCTGGTGTCTGTGACTAAACCCGCTATCAAACGCTGCCAGCTAATGAACAACCAAAGGCGGCTGAGAAACACGTCTAGCGTGAGGTGGCAAAAACTCCTTCAGAGAGGAACGTGGGAGCCGAAAATACTTTCACAGCGGTTCTTCCTCAACTGTCCTGCCACTAATTAGCACCTTCACTTTCAGAGCATTTCTGTTTGCACGACTCTAAATAACCGCAAGGTGTCTCGGTCGGAAAATAACCTGCCTGAATCAGTGCTAAAGTTGTAAGCAATACAAATGGGCCAGACATAAGCCTTACAAAAAGAAATGATACCAAAGTTAGTGAATATGGCACGTGAAAGCTGGGGAACCTTTTAAAGATGCCGTGGTTTTTCGGGACACACAAGGGTTGAGCCTTTTTCAAGAATCTCATAGAAAAACTACATATTTTAAATGTGCTTTGATTTTATTTATAAAAAAAAAAAAAATTATGCTTTAATTCAGCAAGGATGCATTCAATTGATCAAAAGTGACCGTAAAGTAGGGTTGTGACGTTGAGGAAATTTTCCCTCTGGTTAATCGACGTGTGACAACACCGGTAATACTGGTATCACCGCGGGGGTGGGGGCGGGGGCGTTCCCTCTTTTTCTCGCTTTCCTTTGCTTTTAAATAGCTTGTAAAAGCGGCGTGCACATTTTACTTTCACTTTCAAATAATGGCAATTCGGCGTAAAGCAATTGTTCGTTTTTAGTTCGTTTGAATTTTCCCTATTTTCCTCGCTTTCCTTCACTTTAAAATAGCTTAAAAGCGCCGTGCACATTTTACTTTCACTTTCGAATTAGCGGCAGTTCGGCGTCAATTGCTTGAATGCAACAACAAAATACAACGTCAAACTCACTTTAGCCTATATATAAAACATAGAACTTTTATTAACAAAACATCATGCTAAAGGGCAGGCTATGCCCTTGAGCAGCCGCGTTCAGTTTTTAATTGTAGTGTCTGTTCTTTTACTGAACTAAATGATTTTTATTAGGCTACTACAAAAAATCTAAACGACGTGGGGGCCGGTGCCGCGGTGGGCAAGTGTCGTAACCGGTGTTGCGGCTTAACACCGGTATCAGCGTCAGCACCGTCTATCGCGGCAAGCCTACAGTAAAGACATTTATAATATTACAGAAGATTTCTATTTCAAATAAATGGTGTTCTTTCTGTGTATCAAAAAATCCTGAAACAAACTATCACTGTTTTCAACATTGATAATAATAATAATAATAATAATAATAATAATATAAGAAAATTTCTTAAGCAGCCAATCAGCATTTTAGAATGATTTCTGAAGGATCATGTGACACTGAAGACTGGAGTAACGATGCTGAAAATCCAGCTTTGCATCGCATGAATAAATTATATTTTAAAATATATTCAAATATAAAAGTTATTTTAAATAATAATATTATTTCACAATTTTTCAGTTTTTATTGTATTTTTGAACAAATAAATGCAGCCTTGGTGAGCAGAAGAGACTTTCCAAAATATTTAAAAATCTTACCAACCCAAAAGTTTTGAACAGCAGTTTAATTGAGCAAAAAGTTCATTTTGTAAACACAACATGAGCATATATCTAACAAACATACACTAAAAACCACAACACTTTAAATCAGGCTTTAATTGCATCTTTAACCTGTACTCCTACTAACAACACAGCTATTTATTAAACACATAGCTGGACATGAAATAGTGATTTTGAGTTGAAAATCCTGTGAGAATGTAAAGTGATTTGTAGTTTATCCACCGAGTTGCTAAACTTGCTATGCAAAACTGTACAAAACTTAGACATTACATTGTATATGAAATTATTCAAAAACAAGCAGATTTTGCTTGATAAAACCATAAAAGTATTCGAGAAAGTTGTGCAATAATAAATAAACCCTTTGCTGTGTTAAGAACTTACAGATAGACATAACCTTGTGTACTTTACATCTATTTTTGTCTGATTTAATAATGATCTCTTAAAGGTCAGCTCACCCAGGTTGTACCACATGTCTCGGATCTCGAAGCCAATCTGTCGCCTCATGTCTTGATACCTGTAAAAGAGAAATAGGAAGATATTAGAAAAGACTTTAGAAAGATGACTTCATAAAGTCAGAGAGGTATGAAACCACAAAACATCTGACAGAACATTTCAATGATTCTCCAGGAATTGAGAAACATTTACAGTTTGCTAGCCTCAGCTTGCAAACCTTCATAATACTGTCCTTACAGGACCGGACGGATGATCTGCGATTCAGAAAGAGGAGTAGAATCAATGTCAAACGATTTTAGGAAAACGACAGAAGATGAGGGCGCAGACTCGTCCCGAATCGGTGCTCTCGTTCAAAGAAAGTGTGAAGTAAGCAGCATGATGACAGATCCCTTATGCTTTACCTCCGCGGGCCTGGCATCCATTCATTAGCGCTGTCATCACATGCTGACATTTTGGGATGCCTGTGGCCCTCGGCTGAATTCTGAGCCACCATTGATTGCTTTGTCAATACGCTCTCATCCAGTGGTAATTTATGATGACAAGGACGAGGCGCGTCAGAGCCCAGCTAACACTCAGTAAAGCCTCTCACAACTCCTGTCTTCATTCCTTCAGTCTGACCCTCGTTACTGACGTTTAATCATTTTTGTGACAGAGATCAGATGCATGCTAACATGCTAAAGCACGTCATGTGACTCACCTTGAGTCTGACCAGTTCCTTATTCACCCTCTCTGTGATCCGGGTTTTAATTTAGCAATACCAAGATGTGTTATTAAACTAATTTTAATTCTAATTTAAATGTTTTCAGATTTAAAAAAAAAGAAATTAATACTTGAATTCAGCAAGGAGGATGCATTAAATTGATCAAAAGTGACAGTAATAGCATTCAAAATATTATATTTTAAATAAATGCTGTTTTTTGAACTTTCTATTTATCAAATAATCCTGAAAAAAAAATAGCATTCCACATAAATATGAAACAGCATTGTTTGTTAACACTGACAATAATCAGAAATGTTTCTTGAGCAGCAAATCAGCATATTAGAATGATTTCTGAAGGATCACGTGACACTGAAGACTGGAGTAATGATGCTGAAAATTCAGCTTTGATCACAGCAATAAATTACATTTTAACATATATACAAATAGAAGCCAGTTATTTAAAACAGTAATAATATTTCACATTACCGTTTTTACTGTATTTTTTGATCAAATAAACCGCTTTTGTGAGCAGAAGTCACTTCTTTTAAACATATTTTTAATAATCTTACCAACCCCCAACTTTTGAAGCATATTGTATACCAAAAGCATTATTATTATTATTATTATCACAGTCAAAATTATTTCCTGTAGTAATGTAGTAACATTATGCTACAAATACTGTTGATTAACTAGCTTAACTTGTACTGAACCCGGTGCATTTCTGTAACAGCCAGTGTTATTTTAGTATCATTGAGATACTATAATAGTTTTTATTAGTATTTTGAATTAGTTTTTATTTGTATATTTAAAATTTTAATTTATGTTAAAGTTTTAATAATTGTTTTGTTTTTATTATAATTTTTAAAAAATATGTTAATATAATATCTATTTCAGTTTTAGATATTTAAGTATGTCAAGTTGAGAAATGTTGCCTAGGCAACTACAGTAGCTGAAATATTTATATTTTTATATATTTATATATTATATATATATATTTATTTCAGATAACATTTATTTCAAATAATTTTTTTATTTTTTTTTGGAACATTTTTACTTTTAGTTTACTATAATAACCCTGGTAATAGCATGCGTCTCAGATGCAGATATTTAATGTTTTTGCTCATACTCTCGGACACTTCATTTCCCCTGCCTGACCTCTCCATTCACTTGCTGACTCCACTGACCTGCTCTCTTAATTACTTCACCTCCTCCTGACTTCCCGAAGCCCTCCTCCTTCACCTTCCCCTCTCTCCATGGTTCTGTCTGTTTCCCGCTAAGCGCTGCTCTATAATTTGTGTCTGTAGTGTCCACGGTGACAGAACGAGAGAGACAGACAGACAGCGAGGCTGCGTGTCCTCACACTCATACAGAAGAGGAAGCCGAGTCTGTTAACACTCACACTTGTCAGCCCACGGGACGATCAAGATGCTAACACAACACAGCGACAGGTGGAAAATACAGAGGGACACCCGCTCCTGTACTATCAGTGCTGTTTGCTAACACGGCTCTTCTCCTGCTCATACTCGAGACACTGAGCAAAACATAAGTCATATCTACAGATCAGACTATTATACGGACTCAAAGGTGGGTTTGTTTAAATTAGGTCAGTAACCACTTGGCAACCACATAAAAACACTCAGAACACCTCAGAGACTGCATAGCAACATCCTGGCAACCACCCGAAATACCAAGCAAGCACTCTTAGAAGAACCTATTGACTATGTAGCAACACCCTACAGCCACTCACCCTAGCAACCACATAGAAACACCCTAAAATCATTTCAGAACACTCGAGAAACCACATAGCAACACACTACAGGAAAAGGAAAAACTAAAAAACACTCACATTAACATCAACTTACAGCAGTGTAGGTAAAAGCCCACAACACGCTAGCAACTAGGGCTGTGCAATTCCATCACCTGCTTTCAGATGGAGCGGCATTTAATACACAGAGCCGTAGTTCACTGACAAGCTAGGCAATATCGCGTTCATAATCGAATGCAATTCATCTGCGATTATGAACGCGATATTGCTTAATTGTCAGTGAACTACGGCTCTGTGTATTAAATGCCGCTCCATCTGAAAGCAGGTGATGGAGATTTAATACTAATCACGGAACCAGCTTTACTGACCAGATGCGCATGACAATCACATGCGATTAATTGCACAGCCCTACTAGCAACTGTGTAGCAACACCCTGAAACCACTCAAAAACACCAAGAAAACACTCCTAGAAGAACCTATTGACTATGTAGCAGCACCCTACAGCCACTAACCCTAGCAACCACACAGAAACACCCTAAACTCATTTAGAACACCCGAGAAACCACATAGCAACACCCTGACAACCACCCAAAACACCAAACAAGCACTCCTAGAAGAATCAATCAACCATATGTCAATACATCAGAGCCACTCACCCTAGCAACCACACAGAAACACCATAAACTAATTTAGAACACTCTAGCAACCACATAGCAACACCCTGACAACCACCCAAAACACCAAACAAGCACTCCTAGAATAATCAATCAACCGTATGTCAATACCTCAGAGCCACTCACTCTAGCAACCAGTTAGCAACACCCTAGGAACCACCCAGAACACCTCAGAAACCATAGATTTGGCAAATCCACAGCACTACAGCATCTGCTGCCGAGTTTCAGAAAGGCACGGCTCACAGGTTCTCCAGTAAATATAGTGTATTTCTGAGAGACTGTAGTGAGCGGGTGAAAGTTTTGGCCTGATGCTCCTCTTCTGTGATGCCAGTGAAGTCTGGACTCTGAGAGACAGAATGAGGAGAAAAAAGCAAGAGAGTGAAGAGTCAGCAGCAGCCTCTCTCAGGTCAGCATGACACCTCCAGCAGAACACGAGAACGGAGGGATGAAAGCTCAGGCTAGGCTACGGCTCTGAACGAATCAAACCAGCACTCTGAAAGAGGCCCGACTGGGGGCAAACAGCACCGAAGAACAAAGTCAGAACAGCGCAACAGACTGTTATACGGCGTCCTCAAGACATCAGCACTTTTTCCTGATGAAAGCCCTCAAAATGCCAACGTTGTGCTGCTTTACCTTTTGGGTTTTGTAGAATTCCAGGACATGAAGTGCAATCAGGTTGAAATGCTGTCTGCAAGTCAACAATTTAAACTCCATTACAGCTGACTGTGTGTTGAGCTCTGTGCGCTTTTATTTTTGCACAAGTTTGGTATTAAAATTAAACAGTTCACCCAAAAATATCAGCTGCTCATCATCAAAACCTTTTTCCTTTGAAGAAGAGTAGAATATTAGAATATTTAGATTTGACATTTCCATGCCACAAAATATATTTTTCAGTTAACTATTTTTTTTTTTTTTAAAGGAATGCAATGTTAATTTCTAGTTGAATTATTTTCATGCTATGGGCTCTTATTAATAAATGACTTATTTTACAAACTATGCTTCTTAATTAAAAATAAATGCACAATAATGAAAAAAATGGAGCAAATAAATAAATAGAACAATAAATGTAACAAAACAAATAAATACATAAAAAACAAATATATATA